ATATAATCTTGATGTTATTACTAATTAGCTGCTTAAAAATGATAGTTTAGTACTCTATAAATGTAACAATATTAAAGTATTGACTACTTTTGGTTTACCCAAATATGCAAAAAGAAAAGATTGGCATGGTATTCTGTAAGACAGTAGAACAATGTAACCTTGTATTTAATTCGTCCCTGGTTACAGGTTAAGTTTTGTCAAGCTGCTCATTATATTTGCACACATCCTACTTGAACAATGCATCGTTTATATATGTCATTTATAGGTCTTATTTTCTTATTTTTGTAAATTTTATTTGTAAATTTTTTTCTCTTTTTGCACTACTTTGCCCTTATTGCTGGGCTGTGTCAATCTTGAATTTGCTTAAGGGAATCAATAAAAAGGAACATCTTTCTTAGGAAAGAAAATGGAACAGCGATTTTTATGTCCTCTTTGTGTATTTTAAAGAAAACGGTATTTTTTATTTTAAATGCAGCTCAGTCAGTGCTGTGCATTTTCTAAGCTGGGAGGCTATTGGCACTGTACTGGTTGGGATGTTTCCCTTTTTCTGCTTAAAGACAAAATAATGTTAAATTTCCATCAGTCAAACTTTTTTTCACTGGAAGGCCATGAGCATGATTTTGGCAACCGTAAGATTAGTTTGTTTTCACAAGAAAAGAAGTGGTTTTGTGGAGACTGTAAAGTGTAGTTCTGCACTACTACATATTATTTCTCCCAGGTCTGGGAAAGATTAAAACAAAAAAAGACAAAAAAATTCAAATAATCAATATGTAGGGGTATCAAATAATATCATTAAGTCAGAGCTTATTAGGCAAATAGCATTGGCCTGTGTACTTCAGACGCCCTGGATAGCCCCGTTTGGTTTGACAGATGTAGCTGTCACACAGACATAGGTCAGTGGCCTGTGGGGCAGAGACGGATTTGGGGGGAAAAGCAGGGTGAGTTGTTATTGACGACAGAGGGTTGACGATCCGTGTGCTGAGCAACAGGAGTAAGGACTGTGCTCTGGCACCATAACATCTGTACTCTGATGGGAGCCGGTTCCTGTCATGTAAACAATGGGATGGTGATAGGAAGGGAGCGGAGTTCTGGCCATTTAATGGACAGTGTGATCGCTTGGTGGGATAGCAGGCGGGACTGGAGCTGGTTAGAGAGATGTCCCTAGGTAACACAGATTTGGGTTTATTATGCACTTTGGATTCGAGCCGTAACAAGTGGAAATGGGAAGCTTTATGAAGTCAAAATATAGGCTCTCTATCTCTCTGTGTTTTCATCTCACTACGACACACATTAGAAACATGGACCCAACTATGTCTGACTGGACACCCCCCAGGGGGATTTGCCCCCTGCTCTTCCCTCACAGCAGGTGGTAACACTGTTAGATTTCCTCTTGGGAACAGGAATTTTCTAATCAAGACAGTGTATTGTGTTCAAGAGAGGGACGGCAAGATAGGAGACACAAAGCTGATGACATTTTCAGGTTTTTTTTTTTTGGTTCCTTCAGATTGTTCTACAAAAGAGGAAATACAATGTAGTAAATTCCAATTCCTTGTCTCATAAGCAAGAAAAATATATTTTGAAACTTGTTGTGAACTTTCAAACTGTTTCCTGGAAGTTCGCACAAAAAAGGTTTCAAAATATATTGTGAACTGGTGCCAATCATTTCTTCTACAGTGGTGAGAAATTTTGGAGGACTATTGATATGGTTTGAAAGAATGAATTGTAGAAATTAGACCTATTTTAAATACAAAATGAATTGAGGAAATTTTAAGTAAAAACAGTCACAGTTAATTTTAAAGAAACACATGCCACATCCTTAATATTGATCCTTTAATGTACTGTATCTGAGAGCTTTATTGATCTGGGTTAAAAAAAATCATGTAAATACTCTCTCTTCTACATACATGTATGCTTGTATGCCATAATTCACTGAGGGAATGTTTTAACATGATAAGGTGGGGAGGAAGGGTCAAAAAAAGGGGGAGGGTTATGTGTTTCTTTGAAACATTTCTCACCAGATTTCACTTTTTTTCCAGCCTTCCCTTAAGCTGCACAAAGCTGTGGTTCATTCAGTCACTTATACAGTGGTAATAATTGTGGAAATAATGTTAATAAACAGGATTCAGTATTCTGATGTTCCATAATTTCTAATGTGCAATGTAGTGGATATTATGAAAATTAGTTTTTAATGGTAAAACATTTTGCTTTATGTACCTTACATTTTGTATGATTAAACGAGTTTTACCAAAAGTTATTTAGTATTTGGAAATATTAAGGGAGAAGGTGTCGAGGGAAAAATCCAATCTCATACTGGGTTACTGTGTTTTGATTTGTCCTCTGTTGGCCTAATGTAAAGAGAGATCTGGCTATGTGAGACTATATGGGGGGGTGAAGAAGACAGCAATCTGTGTCAATGAAGATCAATGTCTGATTTTGGAGAGAAGCCAGAGAAAACGCTGCCAGTGTCCATCTCTGTGTCCTGGCTACTCCCTCTTGTCCTCATTGACCCTGCAACTGTTACTCTGACAGTCAGCAGATAGGGGATAACCTAAACTAAATGTGAGATGGTCTCGAGCTTGTCTTTTTGTTTATTCTCCTGCAGCATTTTACATCTATTTTTTTTCCATGCTCTCACTTTTAATTCCAGTCACTTCACTTTAATCTATCACTTAAGCAAAACCTGGAGAAACACGTAGCTGTGAATGTTTGTGGGCATTAGTATTCCCTGCGGCTGGACTGCAAATTCAATACATTTACGTCCTCCCGAGTCATGCTTGTCAATGTACACGTGTGTGTGTGTATGTGTTTTTGTGTGTGTGTGTGCGCGCTTTGGGCTTTTTTTGGTTTGTACGTGCAATCGGTGTGGGTGTCTGTGTGTTCGCCTAAGCTTTTATCTTAATGAAGGGCTGTGCTGCGCCCCTTAGAGGGTTGATTTGGTTAAGAGCCAGACGGGGGCTAGTGTGCTGACTCAGAGTGCAGGAAGAGGGATGTAAAAACAGAGTAAGAGAGGGAGGAAACAGTGTAAGAAAGTGAATGATGGTCCGGAGGAGAAGGGTTAAGGTGAGAAAAGTCATGGAAAGAGGAAAGTAGAGACAGTTGGGGTCAGTTTTTTGTGAGTAATGCATGTTTGGTTCAGATATGAATCGTGTGGATATTCTTGCTTCCTCCTCTGCATGACTTTCCCTGTTCTTCTTTTAATGCCCTTCCTGCACACCCTTAAGTGCATGAACCTGAATTAAGCACTCCCTTGGGAAATGTACACATCATTGTTGCTCCTCTCCTCCTCACCTCATATGTCTTCCACTGTCCACTCTAAAAACGAGCACCCCATTCTTTCTCATTTCTTGCCTTCCCTCACCTCATCTGATGTTCCCCAGGGCTCTAGTACAAATATACATCTCCCACGCGCTCTCCGCGGTCAGGGTTTGGGAGACTGTGGCCACACGCAGACAGGCGACACACACACACAGCAGCCCAAAAGAACACAAACAAGACTAAAAGCACAGACCTGATGGATCACAGGTCTTGTTAGCAGAGAGCAGGGATGCACTCGGTTGCCCTTGTTTAGTCTCACAGTGGCGCAGCCCTGTTTGCTTAGATGTCTTAATCCAGGCCTGTGTGTTGGCCTGTGTGTTGGGGAAACACTCACACACCGCTTCACACAACAGACCATTGGCCTTCAAGTGCAATAAAAGCCTCTTCATCATCCGTTGCTCAGTGGTACTTTGACTTTGCATCAGCCTTCTCCTTCCCTTCGCCCGTGTGTGGTGATGTCATCCGACACTATGAGAGAATGCGACCCACTGACCCTAATGCATTACCCCAGACCCCCCTCTCCTCCCTTCTCCTTCACTATCTCCCAAGTACATTAGCATTACTCCCCCACCCCTTCTCTCCCCTCATGAGGATGAACCAAGTCTTTGTCCCAGCCCTCAATGCTGGACAATCCTGATTCAGCCAGTATTGCGCTCCTCAATCACAGCATCTGTCTGGACACTGGACGACATCCAAACTGTGCAGCGCTCACAGCATCACACAGAGGGATTCGCAGTCTTGATTTGAAAGCTCTCACAGCATTTAGGACACTGCAATTAGACTCAAGGGTTCGGGATATCCCAAGGGACTGGTTGATTTAAAGGAACAGTTTGACATTTTGGAAAATGTGCTTTTTTGCTTTTACATCTGTATGGTAAATAATGAGGATAGCAGGTTAGCTTAGCTTAGCATTAAGACTGGAAATGAGTAATCAGCTAGCTCTGTTTAAAGGTAATAAAAACCTCTAAAGTTGATTAACACATTATGTTTTGTTTGTTTAATCCCTAAACAAATTGTAAAAAAAAGTCTCAGCTGGTTTCTTGGCAGCCTCACAGTGACAACATAACATAACAAATTATTGTTCTTCCGTTTATGTAAGGATTAAAATAAACACATTAGATATGACTTTTACATATAAATGAACATCTTGCCAAATGAGTTTACACAATGTTGATTAAGCCTATCACCACCAGGTGTATCTCTCTGTATTTTGCAGTATTCACAGTTTTTAAATCTGGAATTAGTGGCAACTTTCCCACACTGGAGGATCAGTATTGATGTGTCCTACATCAACCAGCAATGCCAGCATTTTAAACCAAAGAGGGAGCATCAGTCCATCTTGAAAGTGATCAGTTAGCTTGCCAACCCCTGGCTATGAGCCAAAATGTCAGTTTTTCTTTCTTGGATTCAAAAGAGTAGTGTTTTTGATGAAAAAAGGACTCATTAATTGTTAGTTGAAGTATGGGTTTTGTATTGAGCACTGACTGTAATGCACTGTGATGGACTTCGCTGGTAGATAGATTTTGTGACCATTAGACAGAGCCAGGCTAGCTGCTTTCCCCTGTTTCCAGTCTTCATGCTGAGCTAAAATAGCTGACTGCTTGCTGAGCATACAGATATGAGAGTAGAGTCAATCGTCTCATCCACCTCTCCATGGATAACTCTGTATATGCCACTTGTTTGAGGACTAGTTAAAACTGATGTCAGTGTATTTTATAAGTCATAGATTGCTGTGTAAATTAGAATCACCTTTTCTCCACTTTCACCGAACAAAGGCTATCATAATTTTTAACATGATTTTGTTCATAGTCACACATGTATATTAATAACCAAATTCTTCCAAACTGCATCCCTTGTTCTCTCTTATATTGGGTTTGATCATTCTACATCCAAAAGCATACCAATTGTGCAGTTACTGTTTTGAATGTTACGAAAACAGTTTGCAGAAATGATAATCCCCTTTACACTTCTGGAGATACTGATGAGGCAAATTGAAACTACGACGTTTGGGTGGTTCTGGGTTGGGGCTTTTTTTTCGGTAAAAAGATGCATTGGGTTGTGCCTTTATGTCACATGGTGGGAGGTTATATAGAGGACAGTCTACTGGTGTACACACTGCTGGCGTTTGAGAATCAGGGAGAATGGATGAGAGAAAGAGTCATTATGTCACTATGGAAGAGGTGATTCCTGTGTAATGACAGCAACAGAGTAAAGCTCAGTCAATCATCAGCCACTTTGCCATTAATTCTGCCTGTCAGCGTAACAGAGAGCGTTACACAGACGAGAGAATGATGGGAATATTAGGGAAACTTAAATTAGGAAAACTAGAGGAAGGACAGATATGAATGAGGTTAGAAGGTCAAATCACAACACAGCGGGGGTTACCCAGTTTAGGGTGACATCAGCCGGATACATGACCAGCACATGATCATTTTTAAGTCTTCTCTTAGAATACTTTTGTGTGTGTGTGTGTGTGTGTGTGTGTGTACAAAGTCCCTCTCAGCCCCCCAACCCCCGAGTGGTAATCTGTTAAAGGATGAAGCAGCCGTTTTCTGTCTTTGACTTGCTTTGTGGCTGATTGCATCAACAGGCTGTCATTGTTTCAAGAGGCTTGTGTCCTTCAGGGCATCTGATAGGAAAGAAAAGAAAAACCCCCAATCTTCCCTTCATTTGTCTTCATCATACTTTAAAGGACTAGTTTAACATTTTGATAAATGCACTTATTAGCTTTCTTGCCGAGAATTAGATGAGACGATCGAGTCCAATCTCTTGTCTGCGCTCTAAATAGGACAGCCAGCAGCCAGTTAGCTTAGCTTGGCATAAAGATAGAAAAACAAGGGGAAACAACAAGCTCGCCTCTGTCTAACAATAACAAAATATGTCTACTGTATGTCCTCGAAAGCTCTCTAATTAACATGTTATATGTTTAATACGTAACGTTACGGCAACCAACTAAAAATAGTTTCAGTTACAGTTACAGTCTGATAAAAAGATAAAAAAGGTATAACAGTTAAGAGCCATTACCCTGAGGGAAAGCCACTAGATGGCTAACATGGAAAATATATGACGATACATGATAAATAGTAAAATCTTAGCAGGACATCTTGGGTCTGTCTCATGTTTATTTGGGACTTCAGTTTAAGTCCAGTCTTTCTCTACAGCTTGATTTCACTGCAGTTACCTCCTGTTTGATGGATCTGAGTCTGTGGGAGGAGAGAGGAGATGAGGTTTAGAGAGACGGAGCAAAAGCAAACCAGCTGTGAGTTTATGAATGAAAACAGGAAGAATGGATTGAGACAGAGGGAGAAAGACAGGAAAATAAGCATCTGTACGAGATGTAAATATTGAGCCTGTAGCTTGACAGAAGTTTGAAAGAAACGGCCAGAGTTTGTAGACACTTACTCAATCACACACACACAGATGGAGCGAGTAAGAGGAATGTAATGCTTTAGCACAATGAAATTAATGTTCTTCTCGATATACACGTTTCCCTGATTTATCAGCCTCTGCTGTGCAATCTGTATACTAATGGAGAAAATCTAGTAATAGAGAAAAAATAGGAGGACGTTTGTAAATAATAGCCTTGTCAAACACAAGCAGTCTGGACATACCAACGAACTTTAACTCTCAGCATAGGGAAGTTACCATTTCCTACTCCAGCTATATTCTCCAGAAAGTAAAAGAGGGAAAGGTACATATGGATTTTATTATAGTCACAACACTTTCCCACGTTATTCTTTGTATTCCCTCTGATCTCTGAGAGGATCTGTGTCTGAATTTTTAAAGCAGTCTGGTGTTGTAGGGTGCCCTATGTCAGAGTGAATATTTAATGAGCTGTGAGCTGCTGGAGAGAATCTTCTATCTCTGCTGTTTCCTGCAGCTTTTACTCTATATTTTTCACCATTGTTCCATCATATTTTTGCTGTTACAGGAGAATGAGTGTTTGACACTATTTATATTCTCTTGCAAATTGCCTCAGAGTTTGTGTTGTCTTTCACCAGGCAGCTATTGGCCCCTGGATATCAGGAAATATGGTACACTCCTGATGGAGCCCGCAAGTCCTCCTCTCCTGCCAGCACTGTAAGTCTAAGAGACAGTTTGATGTTTTCAAACTGCAGCAGGGAGTTGTAAATGATCATAGAAGAGAAATAAATATCAATGCAGCAGATTAAATCATATGGCAGGAGTATAACAGGCAGACTATAACAGTATGGACATAAATACTACATGTCTTGCTTATATAACAAGCTCCTCTGGTTGAATTGTAGTTTCTTGATGCTGCATCACTCTGCTTTCCTACATGGAGACCTCTGTGCTGAGCTTTAATTGTTTTTTTCTTCCAGGGACACTGTTTCTACCATGGGGAGGTTCTGGGCATGGAGGGTTCAAGTGTTGCTGTTAGCACATGTTCAGGACTCAGGTATGTAAAACTCCACCACGGGCGTATTCAAAAAGTTTTCTATAATATTTAGAGTTGGTCCCAATAGTGAAAGACATTTCTTAGAATTCTAAGAAGTCTCCCATGCGACTAAATCTCTTTTAAAATAAAAAAAGTTATTCATGAAGACAGCTCCCACAGTTAAGAGCAGGGAAGCAGAGTTTCTTCAGTAAGGGAAGCTACAGTAAGAGCTGCAAGAAGTAGGGCCAAGAGAAAAGTTTTCCCAACACTGTCAAGCAGGAAGTTAGTGCTATGGATATATATATATGTGTGTATATATATATCCGTAGCACTAACAATATGTATATATATATATTGTGTTGGGGTGATGTTTCTGGTAGATCTTCATAAAGATGTGTTTGCACCACTCACTCAATGAATTAAAGCTATAAAGGCCAATTTCACAGCCTCTCTTTATCTGTTTTACAGCTGACGTGCAAACATTTTGGGCAAACAAAAGAGAATTAATGGATGCACAGCAATTTCCTCAGTGTTTTTCTGAGTCAGTGATAGAACACCTGCCCAACATAACATAATGCTTAGTCAACCTACCAAAATAGAAGAGGAAATGTATCTAAATGTTGAGTCATTTTCACAGCTCAGAACATCACTACAATTCCTATACCTGTAAAAAGCTGCTCAGAAAGCCAGTTGCACTTGCATCTGACCTGAAATGACCTTTTTTCGAGAGAAATCTAGCTGACAATCTCCTTCCCTGATTACTGAGAAACGAGGTTTGTCCTATACACAACATACGGATTTTAAAGAAACCTGGGTATTGCAGAAACCTGAATTTAAAGTGCAAATGCTGTTAGCACTGCACAAATCTAAAATATTTAGGCTATTTTTAATAACACAATTTATTTTGACAGTACTAGAAAGTTACACTTCAAAAACCTGAGAAGTAACATGTAGACTTTGAATCCTAGCATGTTGAGATTTTCAAAATGTACTAGTGACATTGTTAAAATAATCACAACGCAACAGGGTCAACCAGTGCTTACTATGAATCTTAAAGCTAAATTAAGAATAATCCTGATTTTGAAGATGAAAAGAAGTTGTAACCAAAGCCTGCACAAGCATTCAGCCGGTCATAAAAACGAGGACATTAGAAGATAGTGACAGGAAACAGTTGTGTATGGTGTCTTGTGCAGTCTAGTAGGTTAGTAGGTCATTGGCTCACGAGTTGGTTCATTGAGTACAGCCCAGTATGGAGATCCTGTGTTTTCTCCTGGTGTGGATCCAGGGCAGCTGATTCTTCCTGCTAGAGACACTGAGATAAGACAGAGGAACAGAGGAGGAACTGGCAAGCACTGATAGAAATCGTAGCCATATGTGTGCTGTTGTGGGTTCGGTGCTCTGCATCTGGAGGACGAGTGGATGAATACATCTTCCTACTTAAGTCGATTCTCTGGAGAAATGCAAACACGCCATAGAGGGACATGGACATGTGGGCGTCTGACCTCTCCAGATGTTTTCTACAGCTGCTTGACCTGCTGCTGTGTGCATGCTCGTGTGTTTGTGTCCGCACTCATGAGTACTTTTGTGAAGACGCCAGAGGATTGTGTATCGCTCTGTCTGTCCCAGCTGATATTCATTTATAAACAGCAGTAAATCACCTGAGACACGATCTACTCCTCCACCAATCCATAAAACCTCCACAGCCAAAAAAAAATCTAATCTGATTTGCAACCATATGGTTTTTACCCATGTAGTTGTTTGACTATAACTGTTCCAAACAATTACATACATTTTTATGGTTTTAAAAGGACATTTTTATTTACAATATTTGCAATAGAAACAATAATATCACAGTGTGCAGATAGGCTGACCGCACTGTTCCACATTAATTGGATGGAACCATCACTAGTGTCTTGTTTTCCCAGGGGACTGATTTCTCTGAACACAAGCGTCAGCTACCTGATAGAGCCTCTTCCTGCTTCCATGGATGCACAGCAACACGCCGTGTTCAGAGCCGAGAGTCTCCATCTACCCGGAGGTAGCTGCCTGCATCACTATGGCAACAAGGAGCATGAGGAGGGGCTTAACGACTTCATCCATGGAATGATGTCACCACGGAGCGTGAGGGTGAGTTTTGACAGGACGAACAATGATCACCTTCACGATATTGTCACCACATATTCTGTATAATTCTATTCTGTATACATTTTCAGGAAAAAAGGGACCTGAGCCAGAATATGAAGTATGTAGAGCTGCTGATTGCAGCAGACAAGGCTGAGGTGAGGACACGGTTGTGGATATGGTCATATTTGGTCACTTTTAAAACAGACAGAAACCATTCAATGTGGGAGTACATGGTGTGGCTTTGTATGGGAAATCACCTATGTAGGCAGAATTAAGTATCATGAGATCATGGAAACACAGCATCATTTTTCATTTCTGTCTCTAAATTGCCCGTAGGTGTGAATGGTTGTCTGTCTCTATGGGTCTGCCCTGTGGTTGACTGGCACAGTGTCAGCTGGGATTGGCTCCATCCCCCTGTACCCGCTGGATGGATGGATGTTTTGAACTATATTTATATGCTGTATAAATAGTATATTTCTACCTTATGCAGTATTGTGATGAACCTAAACATAGAAAACAACCTCAGCAGATGGCACCCATCACTATTTTCAGAGCTAGATAATGGTGGAGTAAGAATTAGAATTGTATTTCAGAATCGAGAGAATCGCTACCCCTACTACCTTTAAATATAAATGAATGAATCATCTCCTGTAAGTCCCCTTTTGAGGTTTGGAATTGGGTGTATGTCTTTTTCTGAATACAATGTGGTTTCTTTTATTTTTCAGTTTGAGAAGCATGGAGGGAGTCTTGAGAAGACCAAATTGAAATTACTAGAAGCGGCCAACTTGGTTGACAAGGTAACATCTCAGTGTCGAGCATTCAAAACCACAAACAGTCTCGGTTTATTCACGCCTATATTTAGTTATGACAAGCAATACTCTGTGTCTTTGACATTTCCTGTCTCACACTCTTGCAGTACTACAAGGCTTTAAACATTCGTGTGGCATTGATTGGTATGGAGGTGTGGACCAGCCAGGACATGATCAACGTGTCAGACAACCCTCACAGCACTCTGGCAGCATTCCTGTCCTGGAGACGCAAACAGCTCCATGTGCTCCCCAATGACAACGCTCAGCTCATCACGTCAGTCACTCTCCCACTAGTCTTCCCATTTGTCTTTCTTCACCCTCTCCAACACTAGCACCCCCCTCTCTCTTCTAAGCCTCCTTTCCCCCAGGGTAGATCTCTCAATTGATTTTATCTCCATCGTGTGAGACAATAACCATCACCAGTTGTATCACAGTGAGAAGTTATCCAGCTGGAACTAATCACCAGTGGCATTTTGTGTCTCCAGGGGGAGGTCTTTCCAGGGCACCACTATCGGCCTGGCACCTCTCAAAGCCATGTGCTCTGACTACCAGTCTGGTGGAGTGAACACGGTGAGATACAAGAGTCTAAACAAACATTAATCCTCTATATGTCAATACAAATTCATGTCTTATATATCTTAGATACTTTGCTCACCTGGGGATATCCAGAAGGGGTGGCTGTTAGCTCAGATGGTTTACAAACAAGAAATATGATCTAATATGGATCTTCAGTTTAAATTATTCAAGGTTAGTATAGTGTAATGTCAGTGTGTCACCAAAAGGCAATGAGAAATACATGCGACATAATATATTTTTCCCTTTCTTACTGAAAAATTTACTTTTTCCGCTCACCTTTAACTAATCGTTGCCTCTTCTTTGAATAGGACCACTCAGAATCAGCTGTGGGTGTAGCTGCCACCATGGCACATGAGATGGGCCACAACTTTGGTATGAGCCACGACAGTAAAAGCTGCTGTCAGGCGAAAGCTGAAGACGGAGGCTGTATCATGGCTGCCGCTACCGGGTACACAAATTCCCTTTGGTTAAACAAATTACAGTTATTAAACTTACATTGAAGAGAAAAACAAGAGGATTTGAAAGATGACATTTCTTACCTACTGTATTCCTGCGTCTTCCTCACGGCCCAGGCATCCATTTCCACGTGTGTTTAACGATTGTAACCTGAAGGAGCTGAAGAGCTACCTGGGCTCTGGAGGTGGGAAGTGTCTCTTCAACTTGCCAAACACCAGATCCATGTATGGAGGGCAGCGCTGCGGCAATGGTTACCTGGAGGACGGAGAAGAATGTGACTGTGGAGAAGAAGATGTCAGTGTCTTGTGTCTTTTAAATATTGCAGTATATATTTACCTTGTATCTTTTTTGCCAAGACTCATGCCTCTACACTCTGCTACACTTTTTTGCGTAGGAGTGCACCAGTCCTTGCTGTAATGCCAACAACTGCACTCTGAAAGCTGGAGCTGAGTGTGCCCATGGTGTCTGCTGTCAGAACTGCAAGGTACTGTCCTCTAAACAAAACCTGTCTCTCCTCATCTCAGTTTGTCTTGTTTTTTCCTAAACGTCTCTTCCTTCTCTTTCTCCTCTCTGTCCAGTTGAAGAGCCCAGGTGTGCTGTGTCGTGCTCCCTCGGGGTCGTGTGACCTGCCAGAGTACTGCGATGGGAAAGCAGAGTCTTGTCCTGCTAATTTCTATTTAGTGGATGGTGCATCTTGCGCAGGCGGGCAGGCCTACTGTTACACCGGCATGTGTCTGACACTGGAGCAGCAGTGTCAGTCTCTGTGGGGACGAGGTGGGTAAACCAGATGTTTGTAATCTATAAATCTTTTGTTCTGAAAGGGCGTATGTCCTCTATTTTGATCACATAGTAGTATATTTTATACATGCATATTAGGGGTGTAAGAAAATATGAAATTCAGATTGTTACATATAGCTTAGTTTACAGTATTGCAATATATCTACGGGATACCCAAAACTAATGCAGTCTAATACCCCTATTTATATCAATGAGGGGTTTTTTATAAAGTCTAGTCTCTATATTTTCAAATTAAGACAAATTCTTGATGCAATATTTAATTTGATTCAAATTAAAATTCAAATGTCTGTTTAATTTAAAACAGTCCTGACAGCATTATTTGTATATACTATAGGTGATAAAACCTTAATATGTAATATTGAGGCAAGATTGACATGTATTTTGAGTTAAACTGAATTAAGTAATTCTCAAAAGGAGAATCTTGTTAGACTCTTCTTTAGTTTTCATGGCATGAAGGGATGATAAAAGTTTTAATGAGATAATCAGTTTAAATGTAGCCTAACTCTTTAATGTAAAAGCACAAAATGTCAAACATCAAATAATGTCACATTGTATCTTTAAAGCAGTTAAATATTCAGCACATGTTAAAGTAGAGAGGCTGGATAGAGTTAGAGATTAGCCCTCAGTGGGTCACAGGATTAGGAACGGTTATTGGACAGTGTCCATATTCACGTTGTGACAGAGCATCCCTGGAGAGCCTTTGTAGTACCACAGGAGCCACACAGAACAGTAAGGGATGCCATCTGGTCTCCATCAGGCGGTCACATAAAACACTGTGCATGCATTTACTGTATGTGTGTGCTATTATGTTTGTGTGCATGTGCAGCCATATTAATGTGCATCTGTGTATTTTTTTCCTTCAATCACAGATGGCCGTCCGGCCCCTGACGTGTGTTTTGAGAAGGTAAACAAAGCTGGGGACAAGTTCGGGAACTGTGGTAAAGATCTTCTTGGGAAATACAGGAGCTGTGAGGACAGGTGAAGTTCAAAACATTCAGGTTCATTTACTCCTTCAGTACAAAGAGGGTATCTACATTTCCTGAGAAGTTAAAATGCTGTGCCCTTTTTCTAGTCATTGATCAAGCCCTACAAATTGATTATATGCTTTTTATTATTTCTGCCAGGGATGCTCAGTGTGGGAAAATCCAGTGTTTAACTTCAGCCTCCAAGCCCATTGAGAACAATGCTGTTCGCATAGAAACCACTGTCAATTTGGGCCATAAGAAGATCCACTGCATGGGAACACATGTGTACAAGGACGGGCAGGGGCATGAAGAGGCACAGGGCGATACTCTGGACCCTGGCCTGGTCATGACGGGCACCAAGTGTGGTGATGACTCGGTGAGACTTATACATATGTGAAGATATACTAAATGGAATTTATTGTTGTGGCAGGGGGCATGCTTTAGATGTCTTTTTGAGATGTCAGTATATTTTAATCTGTCAGGAAGCAAGTAAAGTAAGAATTCTGCTCATAGGAAGCACTTGATGTTTTTACCCCTTCTCTTCCTCACACCCCTCTTTCTCTCAACAGATTTGCTTTAATGGAGAATGCCGCAATGCATCTTTCCTCAGAGCTGATGAGTGCAATGCCAAGTGCCATGGACACGGGGTAAGTTTCTATATGTGTGAGGAAGGATACTAAGGGAAATGGATTTGGCTGCTAGCCCACAATTCTGAAAGGCTGGCAAACATGGAAGTGGTCCAAGAAGTATTTCTGTCTTTTACTTAATTAAAAGTAGCGATAAAGCAATGTTAAAATATTCAGCTTTGTTGTCCTTGTTCTTAGCTGTTATGTCTATTCCTGTAAGTACGATAAGAGAAATGAAAGCCAAATTCCTTGTATGTGTACACATACTTGGTCAATAAAGCTAATTCTGATTCTGATACTATACTGCAAAAAGTATATGTTTTAAATGTTGTTGTGTAGAAGTATGAAGTAGCAGAAAATGGAAATATTCAATGAAAGCACAAGTCAAAATTATACTAAAAGTAAGTGATTGAGTAAATGTACTTAGTTACATACCACTGAACCTTGAATTTGTTTCTATGTAGAATGAAATGTAGAAGTCCTTCTGTAGTCCTAAAATGTAATTAACTATACCTCTATATCAACGTAATGAATATAAACATTTATGTTGTAATTTTAATGGATAATATGTTCTTTCACCAGCTGTGCAATAACAATCATAACTGCCACTGTGATGCGGGCTGGGCTCCTCCTCTGTGTGACCAGAGTGGGTCAGGGGGCAGTGTAGACAGTGGACCTGTCATCAGCCACAGTGAGACAACTGCATTTTTCATATATTGATTGTATTATTATATTTCTTTTTTTGTTAATATACAAATTTCTAAATGTTAACAATTTTACCTTCCAACAGGCAATCTCCTTCCAGTCCTGCTGGTCCTACCCCTGGTTCTCTTTGTGGTTTTGGCTGCTGTTGGACTGTGGTGCTGCTACAGACATAAACTTCACCCACTGAAAACCTCTGCTCCACCTCCAGTGCCAAAGTATGTAATTCTGATATGTTAAATACTAATACTTGCTGGCGAGTACTTTTGCTCTAAAAAAATCTGTGTTATGTGGACGTATAAAGGATGGGTCTTTTGTTTTTTAACCCACAGTTGTTCAGTCCCAGTTGAGGGACATGCCAACCCGACATTCTTGCTAAAAAAACAGGAGTTGGTAAAGAAGTACATGATTACCTCATCTATTATTCTTCTTATTATTAAATATTAGAATATAAACCACTGAACTTTGTTATGGCTACATTCTTCTACAGGGAAAGCCCTCTCCTCGTCCGAGCCCGTCTTGCCCGCCTCGGTCGAGGCATGCTATTGTGCGTCCAGCAGTGAAGCCTCCTCCTGTACCTGCGTATGCTGCAGAGCAGAAACAGCTGATGGCTCCAACCGAGATCCAGCCTGTAGCCAATTCTACTAAGAGACAATACTCTCCTCAGGCTTACGCTTCACCTCCTCTTAAATCTGATCAGAGACTAAACCAGGCTCCTCCACCACCTTCAGGACCTCCACCTTTACCTTCCCTGGATACCAAATCCCATTCACCGCATTCAGCAGTACCCAAACCCCGACCAGACCCCCCAAACAGACCTCCACCGCCTTGTCCTGTCAACAAGCCATTTGTGGTGAATATTTTTTTTTGTTTGGTTTTAATTAAATAGGTATAGTTTGCTTTAGCTAACTGAATGTGACATGTCTGACTTGTCATTTTCCTATGCAGGAGCAGCAACAAATCAAAGGCCTGCATGTTACTACTAATGCCCTGCAACGAGGGAAAGCTGCTTTGGCTCCATCTGCTGGACAGAAAAAGCCAAACAGGTAATTTATCTGGTAGTGTTTTCTATTGTAAATCTATGCAATCCCCTTCTTAATGGCTTTTATAAATTTTTTTTTTGCTTCTTACAGAACTTAAGAGCTCAGGGAGATATTGGGGACCACCACTTGCATCCAGTAATGGACTGCCTCAAACTTCCTTTCTGAATATTAACGTGGCACTGTGGGATATGATGAATACTTGATTCCTTGTGGATTACAGTGTACACTGATGTGTGCTGAGGAAATTTGTAGAATTAGTCATACTACATATCACAATAAGTATGTTTTAAGTCTTATGTCTTAAGATTTAGGCTTAATCTGTGTTTTATAAATTAGCCTAATGTGTCTGCAACTTGAAACAGCCAGAGCTGTGAATTTAAGAACTTTTTTTTGTTTTTTATTGTCTCAAAAATGAATAGAAATGTGAAACTGTTCCGTGTGTACAGCAGTGTTGATACACTGTTCCGGGAGTATTTATTCACAAAGAAAAATGAATGTTTACAATGTAGCCTATGTACTAAACATGGTGTCTCATAAAGAGCATCAGCTGTAAAGGGATATCTTATATTAAGAAAAGATGCCAATATTGAAGTGCTTACGCTTCTTTTGTGTGAGTAAGGATGGGATTTTAACTGGACTCACAGGGACCAGTGAAAGCCCTTCATGCATGCTGTAAGTATATGCTTATGATGAGAGATAGATGTCTGATATGTAGCAGGAAATGTTAGGGATTTTTGTAGTTGTACTGCATTATTAGTTTTGTTTTGATGATTTTATATTGTGATGTTGCACTTTGAGTATCAAATACTCACCCCCTGAAGGTGTTAAAGGTAGCTGTTAAAATATCCTTCTACAAAGTACCAACTAGTAAAAGTCACGTTTCAAGGCTACAGGAGGTGAGTATTTGATACCAAAAAATATTTTGGGTGATGTATCACTTTAAGGTTACCATTGATTAAGTTGTCTAGGGTAACATTTCAAATTAGGAGCAAAAATGAATCAAATGTATCAGTTAAATATTTCAAAATTGCACCATCAATTTAAATAATTTTTCATGTTGGTCCAAAGATGTCAAAAAAACAATGTGGGAGTTCCCTCATGACCAAAATGCTATAATGCTACTCTTCTATCTGAGAAGACTATATTATGTGACTGGAGGTAATAACCTTGGCATTATTGTAAGGTACTGTAAACATCCTGGTCCATTTGAGTGCTTGGGGCAAAGACCTGGTTTAATCTGTAATGTGGAAACACAGTCTGTCAGCTGCCATGTTTTATCTTCTTATCAGACCTATGCAAATCCTGACACTGTGCAACACTGTGTCTTCAACTGGAATTCAAATACATGGAAAAATAAAAACATGATATTATACATTTTAATTGGTTGTGTTTTGTCAATACATGTGATCTTGTTCATACCGGGAATTAAGAGCGTGTTACACTTTTCATTATGCCAGCAGCAATTCCTGCACACAGGTATAATAACCTCTACATTCAGGGCAAGTTTGATCATAATATTAAAGTTTGAGTGTGTTTTACTTCTGCCAAGTTTTTATACAGCTAAAGATCTCCTCACAGAACTGCAGTAAAGTTACAGTTCAACAGGAGTACATGTTTTAACGAACATACTAACCTAAGTGCTCCTGGTGTGCTGCTATGTGACAGCCAATCACTCCGCCATCTCTCCACATTTGCATGGCAAGCAGAGTCTATGTGTGTGACAAAAAAACAGAAGAATTTCCTCATTAGGGATTATTAAAGTATATCAAATGTGTGGCTAAATGGATTGGAAGAACTATTCAAGTTTTCTTGGGGTTATTTAACCTGGAAACAACATTTACACATCACACTGTAAAGTCCTGTTTTTGGCCACCTGAAAACTTTTTACTTTCTATTATTCCTTTTAATTCTGTTTTTGTCTTCACCAACTACTGAGGGAAGTATCTTACTCTTTACTTGTTTATCAGAACTTTTCCACATGAAAACAGCTGCCCTGCTGTGTCCAAAACAGTGGTAAGACTGCCACAATTGTACAGTTGTGGGCCTAAAAACCAAAACAATGAGTTAAAAGTAGCATAAACACTCTTTCGTGATTTAGTGGCCTCTAGCGGTCTAGTTGCAGATTCCAACTAACTGAATACCACTGGTGTCTGTATTTGACGCCCATGGAATGAGAAGGTCTGAGAAGTGTGTAGATGGCTCGCAAGAGCTGCAGAAAATGCAAAAGGCCCTATGTACAGCCAGTGTTTGCTTTGTCTGTTCTGGGCTACTGTAGAAACATGGTGGTCCAACATGTGTAGATAAAAAGGTGTCATTCTAAGGTAACAAAAACACAATTATTCCAATATTCAGGTGATTATACACAAATGAAAACATACCTATGATTATTATATTCCATTCCTGTCAATAGATGCTCCTAAATGTTACATACTGTCCTTTTAACTGCATCTGCTGGACAAATATTGACCAATACCGAGTGGAACCTTTAGGACTTGCACTACACTATACAATTTGGTGATCTCAGTAAGAAATGCTATGAATCAATTTATGCCAAATTGAAAGTACATTGAAAGTACATTCACGTTACTTCCATGATTCTCTTACAGGTGTTTTCATTGTGTTGTTACTGAAGAGACCTTTGATAAGCGTCCCTCTGCTTATTGAACAAACAGTTATAGATCGATAGTGTATGCATAGGTTTAAATGACACCCCCTCTTAGCACTGAAAGGTGCCTGCCCTTTAGATCTCCACATCCTTCACTGAGATGAAAGCTACCTGATTTATTCTAATCAAAAGACTGCTAAATACCAAGGCCAGACCCCCTGAACCAACCTTCTACCAACACAAAAACAACCACACACACACACAAACTCCCTGGTCGACTCTCTGCGGACTGAAGAGCCAGGTGATCTTCCACAGGACCAAAGGGAGGTGAAGGTAACTGTGACTCAGAGGGAGATGTGGCATTGGCAGGCAAAGGTTTTAGCATGTGGCTTAATTGCAGCATCTCCAGCTGAGCATAATTAGTGTTAGCTAGCATGTCACTTCCTGTGGAGTTTCATTTATTAGAGATGATGATTGGCTGAGGGATAAAACGCAGGGGTGACACCCCCGCCTCCCCTCACAGCGGGAGGGATGTGCAGCCAGGAGGGCAGTAAAGAGAGGATCTCACCTGCTGAAAGCTCCCCTGCCTTCTATAATGACCCAATTAAGCCTGAGTTGTTTTTCCACTTGTAATGTTGATTATCACACTCCTTTTTTCACCACTTTTCTCTCAATCAATCCCTGTATTCTTAGATTGTTCATCCTAAACTCAGTCTTTCCATTATTACTCAACATTGTTACAAGTGTTTCTTTTAATTAGCTATGCTGTTTTATAGTAAAATATTCTGCAATTATTCATCAGTATCAACTATGACAACTAAGGGCAAACATCAGCTCATACATCAGTATCTACCACATAGCAGCACTGTATTAAAGTATTCCTTCCTCCAGTGGGTTTAAGGATGAAAACCTACATAGGCTACTGATGCATATAAACATAAAACATTTTCCGGAATGACAATTATAGTTACACATTGTGCATTTTTAGTTTTAATTTAAACTCTGTGGGCAGCAGCAGAGCTTGTGAAATAAGGCACTGCAATTTCCCTTTAAATCCAGAAGGTTGTTAGTCACACCTTGACCTAATGAGGTCCAGCTGGGAAAATGCTGAGTCACCCTGCACACCTACAACAATGTTTACAATTATTCTGCAGATTACATTCAGGTTGTGTCTGAGCTATGCTGAGAATCACATCAGCTCACAAAGCTACATAATTAAAGTGTCTGAAATCAGTCCGTAGTTGCAGAGAATCACAATTTACTACGTACTATATAGCACCATATTGACTGGTTAATGCTTAACCAATAATGCATACATTTATTATTATGGATGAAAAAATGAGAGACAGCCAGAGAGAAAAATGTGTAAGTTGTCCTGCCCAAACAAGTGCAACTAAACTAATAGGAGTGTGTGTCAGTAAGGTAGTCAAATTCTAATCAGGCGCAATAAGTGTAAACACCTGGGCTGGTGTGTGTAGGAGCTTTCAAAAGCTTAGGTCACCATACAGTTTTTTTCTCACACAGGAAACATGACTAAATTTAGTACTCAAGACATAATGCAAACACTTTATTTTTTTGAGTGTGCTGATGATGCACACTATTGTCCCACTTTGCAATATACAGAGGAAATGAATAAGTTCCTCACAGCTGCACAAAAATAATAACTACATAATAATATGGTGGCAAGACTGCTACGGAAAGCTAAAAATAAAGAATAAATCTTTGGCTAAAAAACACTTTGTGCTTTGTCCTGAAGTGAAGTTTAATTCAAAGTGTGATTCCAAAATTGCACTGCACACACATGGCATAGCTTCCTGCAAAATGGTAAACTTTGATTTTCTTGAATACTTACTGCAAAAACGAGTAGCCTAGTATGTGGCATAGAATCGGGACTCACTTTTTGCTGAAAATGCAGCATGATAGTGCAAAGGGAGCAAGGGAGGTGTCAGTCAGGTGCTTACTCACGCATTCCTGGTCTAATCAGGCAAAACAGGTTAAAACACCTGGACTGGTGTACGATAGGAGCTTTAAAAGGCATTCAATATGTCTGAAATATGGGATGGCCTGCATTGTACCAGTTGCCTGCCAGTGATTAGCAGCTTCAGGCCTTTCTATTGAAATGGGATAAAATCCCACAACTGCAGATTTACCGGCTCATTTACCAGAATAAGTCAGATGTGTCAAACAGTAACGGCTGGAAATAGTGTGCAACAACTATCATTAATGCTCACAGTTACTGTTTTCGTGTTATTGTTGTACAATAACCTTTAATCGTCTCTCTATTTATAGACTGAAGGTTAAAATTTCAGTCCAACACTAAGAGCACAGCTTTTTGCCTTTAGTGTTTATGGCCAGGTCACTACCCCAGGGACTGATGGTAGGTTATATAGTTAAGTGTTGTTCTGATTGAGAGACTTGCCTCTGGCAATAAAAGGTCAACATTAATGATTAATGAGAGGAAAATGTCATAAGGGAGAGAGGGTGGGGGCAAAAAAAAGGTGTAAGGTAACTATGGAAAGACTCCAAATCCTAAATGTTCTTCTGCTCTCTTTTGACTTCCTCTGTTCATTTTATTATGCCAGTATTATACATTTAACCCCATTTAAAATGTAGAATGTAGGTCTTTCATTAGAGGGAAAAGTGGGATTATTTACACGTGGCTTCATTGTTCAGCACAGCCGGGTTCCTGTTACATCACACAGTCAAATCAATCTTAGATCAGCTCAGGCACAGTTTCCTAATGTTGTTTATCCCTTTAACTGTGAGGTTTTGACCTATCATGTGTATTCAGATCAATGAAGAGAGAATTCCTTATGAGACTCCCACAGAGGTGAGTCCACTGAAACGACTCCATCTGAGTTCAGACGAAAGCTCTTTACCTCTAATTAGAACCCTTGGCAATTCTAATGGATGCCCTTATGAAAATATACTTAATGACCTGATGTCAGCAGGAAACCATCCGCTGATGTCTGATCCAAGTCATTAAGATTCTTCTGTATATGTGTGTTGTTGGTGTATGTGTGTGTGTCACATTTGTAACTGGACTTATACACAAATAAAACACACATAAACATCTATACTGCTGTTGTGCAGTAGAAGTAGAATTTATACTTCTAATCTATGTCATTTTTCACACCACAAAAGAGTTTTATCACACAAAGGCTAGTTTTTAGTATTGCCTTTATTGTAAACACTGGTCATTCAGATGCACAATGATCAATAATAAATAATATGAATAATCTTTCTCACAGAAAAAGGACCGGAGACAGATTTGTTTACTGTCACATAAAGAACTGACAACTTTAACAGCACTAATATCCAAGGGGTATATACAAACAATAATTGCACATGAGTGAAAAAATTATTTTACAGTGTTGACTGTACCTCCAATTAGGATGTCAAATTAAGATTCCTGTCTTTCCCAGAGGATCCCTTGCAGCTCACCAGCAAAATGACTGAACAGCCCAAAAACTGTAAATGACAAGGTTCATTCACCACACAATATACTGAAAATTTATATAAATCTACTGTGTATTGAATTCACATTGTCATCCTTGCCAGAAGCTTTATTTTACAGCCACCAAAAGTAATCTTACGCTAATTATAATAAAGTTTTTCCTCATTAAACAACATAAGACAACATTATGCATACAGACAACACTGCTCTATTTATAGTCCACACTTGTATTCCATACTGATTGCACTTCTTACCTTTGAATAATATCATAAACACAGTGAATAGATAGTAGAATACAAATGATTTACTGTGCAGCACTCAGCAGTCCATTCAACTGAGGTCTGTTGATGAAGCTGCTGCTGTCTGAGGACTGTAATGAAATGATTATAAGATCAGCTGGAAGGTGGAAGTTATATTTTCTCCTCTTGGCTCTGGTGCTCCCACGGCACAGGATCATTTTCGTCTGTGTGCAATCCAGTCTCCCTCTCATTCCAGAACTGCTCCACATCAGGCAAGACAATCCCATCTTTGAGGCTCGCAGTGTCGACCTCTCTTCCTCCTCCTCCCTGCTCCGGCTGGGGCTGAGCCTCTCTGCTGGGACCCTGGCTGGAGCTTGATCGAAGGCTCTTCTCCCCCTGCAGCTGGCCAGAAGTTTCTGGTCTGGGGCAAGGCGACTGGTGAGCTGTAGGGTTGTGAGGTCCGGGTTTTGGCTTTGGAGGAGGTTGTTTGCGCAGGGTGAGACGCCTCCACAGCCCCCTGTAGCCCTCTCTGAACTCCTCGGAGAGGGAGAGGACGATGAGAGGGTTTACCAGGGACAGAGAGAAGGTGAGCAACTGTGCAGAGAGGGTTAGAAGAAGAGGAAGAGGGGAGACAAGGGGCTTGGCTCCCTCTATTTCCTTCTCTGCTATGTGACGCTCCCAAACCCACACAACCCACTGTGGAAGCCAGAGAATAGCCATGGCCACAGTCAGGCTGAATAACATTAAGGTGAGCTTCCTTGATCTGATCTGTGTGCGGAGGTTCTGAGTCTTACTGGAGCGGCGTTGGCACTGGCCGTAAGCCTTCCAGAAATACATCAGGGCAAAGCTGAGAGGTGCACAGTAGACCCCCAAGGGGTATGCTTTGACGTACACAGACATGAAATTACTGGCTTCAGGAGGAACTATCAGCACACACACCAGCCCCTGGATCTCTCTCTGCAGCCTAGCAAACAGCCAGTGAGGGATGGTGACAGAGCAAGCAGACAGCCAGATAAGGAAGAACACCACAAGGATAGAGCCCAGGTGGATGCTCACCTGCTTGGTGGGGTTGGACACGTAGCGGTAGCACGCTTTGGCCATGACAGCCACTGTGAAGCTCTTTGCTGCCATGCAGGATTGGAGGAACCAGTCAGCTGTCTTGCAGACCACCCAGCCCAGATTCCAGCTAGCTTTGGAGAAGGAGGCAGCCCTGAAAGGCACCGTAAACATCAATACCAGTCCATCAGCAAACATCAGGTTGAAGATGAGGGAGTTGATAAGAGATAGTTTGCCTCTATGAGCGTTGGAGAACAAGATGAACATTGCAGTGAGATTACAAGCCACACCCAAGACACAGATGACTCCAAGAATAACCGGCACCAGGACCCTCAGCTCCCCGTGATCCAGGTGCTGGTAATAGCCATGTTCATTGAATGACCACTTGTCTATGGAGCTGTTCACCACTGTTGCATTGTTCTCACTCAACTTATCCATGTTTTCCAGAAAGAAAGGATAGGAAAAGTCAAAAGCAGCCAGGAGAAGGAAAAAAGGTTAGGAACGACTGGGTAGAAGATTTCCTAAAATTGAAGTGCTCAAAAGAGAGATTTCATATATTTAGCAATACTGCCACTAAAGTCTAAACGTGTTAGAATAATTGCATCAGAGAAGGTATCGATTGACGATCGATGATCACAGTGGAGCTCCTGTCTGTCCCCGGGTTTATTCTGAGACACAATCATTCAGCTTCAGCGCCTGGTTATAAAGATGCTTTTTGATTGACAGCTGCTGTCTCCAGCTGACAAAATGTGCGTAGACTATTGCCTCACGGGGCCAATTAGAAAAACTCTGCATAATGTGCGCAGTACGACAGATGAATGTATTGGATTACAGTGAGGTTTTCTTAAATGATACTAATGCTTAACTCTTGATTATAGATTTGTTTTGCACAAATAGGGTGTTATTACAGTGTTACTCTGTTTTTCTCAACCAGAAAACTCCAAATCAAAGACAGTTTCAAAGTGAGGATGAAAGACAATTAATTAGAGACAGAAAAGGATTAAGTATCTTGAAATTGTTTTGGACTCTCAGCTAACATTTGACAAACGCATTAAAAGATGGGTGGAACCCAGAGCTTATCTTCAGACCTTTTGGCATTTCAGACACTACTTACCATTTAATATAGCTTTAACATTTATTCATACACTGCTGCACAGTAGTAATGCATAACCTCTGGGTCTCAAGTCATCAGCCTCTGTCATTAAACCACTGTCTTCCCTTTTAAACCAAGCCATCAAAATTCTGGAGAAGAAACCACTAAGATTTCATCATTGCAATGCTCCAGACGAGTACAATCTTCTCAGTTTTTACAATTTCATTAATTACTTCAACCTCACACTTTTCATAGACTTTACTATACTGCCACCTATACCTGGGGTACACCAAAACACAAATTATAGAACACTGTAAGACTTAATTTGCACTAACTGCATCTCAGTTAAAGGTACAACCCTCTGGAATTCCCTATAGCAGATTCAATATTTTAAAATGTTTTTTCTGGCTAAAGCTTTGCCAAAATATACACCAACTAGTGATGTGTTATTTGTATAGTTGAGTTCAGACTATAAATGGTTTGCATTTTTGTATTGTTGGTTTTATTTGTCAGTTCGTTGTCATTGATGTTCTTGTTTTTGATCATCATACCCACTTATTTTCTATTTTTATTTCTATCTTAACTGTAACAAGTCATTCTAATAATTGCTTACACAAGACTGAGGCTGGAAATTAGCTTCAGTTCTACACACATGTACAGTACATGGGACACTGCTTTGTCTGTCAATGTTTTGCTGTACCTTTCCCTTACAAATAAACAAATAAAATAAAATAAAATAAAATAAAATAAAATAAGGGAATTTTAGAATTTGCCACAAAGATAACATTGTCATCTGTGTTTGTTGTATGAGCTATTATGGTTCAGCAACCTTCACTTGGAAGCTGGATTTCTGCTCTCAATGGTTAATTAGTATAATATGAATACATGTGAATAATTAAGAATTGTGACAAGTGGCAAGAAATTTGAAATCAGCCACTGTGTCCAGTTGATGAAAATCCTGTTTCCTCTTATGTCTTACTCATCACCCACAAGAGGGCGCCCTTATACCACAAGCAGCAATGAACACAGTCAGGATATGAATTTGAGTCAGCAGCATGAACAGATCCAACAATTCAGGCTTTGAACTTGCACATCTTTATTCTTTTTTATTCAAAGAAAGTCCAGTAAGCATAAAGACTGCATGGTAATTAATTGCATTTCAATACATTCTGAGCTATAAAAGTTTTTTTTTTTTTTTTCAATTAGTGTCACAAAGAAGGTTGTTTAGAAGACATTACTGTTTAAAGGAATCACACTTAATAATTCCCTGATTTCACAGAGTTCATTTAGACCTTTGACTGCTTACCTTTATGGGAGTTGCCTCTAAAACAAATCTGAGACAAGAGAGGATTTCCAAACTGATCCGAGCCGAGTGCCGAAATACAACCTGCTGCTGTTCCATGTTACACAACTTCAGCAAGAGGAGGAACATGGACAGGCACCGCAGCAAACTCAAATCAAACATTTTAAACTGGCTACTTCTGCGTTTTACTTGCATAGTGCCACATATGATCTGTAGATGTTCAGATATCTATGTGCAGGCTGTCAGTTTCATCAGAACCAGATCCAACGCATGCAAAAAGAGCTATGCTAGCATTATGTTATGCCAAGAAATCTTAAATTCAAAAATTGGACATGAAAAGTTGACGCTTCTACCATCTACAGATCATTTTCAGTACTATGCAAATAATGCAAAAATGTTGATTTTTTTTTTCCAACAGGAATTTTGCAGAAAAAAATAGGTTTTGTTGTGTCTCTTGCAAACTGATGGCATCAGACTGACTGCAATGTGATAAGAGCAACAATTACTTTGTACATATCACAGCGTCCTCCCCTGAACTCACAAGCATGTAGCCGGTGCTAAAATGTAAATTTTGACTACACTGCTTCAAGCACTTTTTCCACTTGGGACCTCAGTGGAGCTTTTTTCTTTTTGTTTGAAGAGAAAGAGAGAAAAAAAAATAAAGAAAAGAAAATTTCCTAAGTTAACATTTCATTTGAAACATTCACACTCCTGCCTTGTACTCAGTCCCCTCCCCCCTCCCGCACCCACTACATCGAACCCCCACATACCAAAAGAAGGCACCACAGCTTCTAAACAGACTGAATGACCGAGAGAAGGACTCAATAAAACAACAGCATTAAATAAAACCATTGACACAGCCTGGAAGGGCTTCATTCACATTACAGACTACAGCAGTCTCACCAAGGAGACACAGAATTGGTACTAGAAAGACTGACCACGTTGTGTCACAGGCAGAGAAAATTCTCAGTTTCTGGGGTCAAGGATTAACAGTCTCTTCCTCTTTTGTTTTGCAGAGGGTTGCACTGTCACAACTTTGCCTCAGTTAGAGGGCCGCAGGACTGATCACATGCACTGTAGCATGAGCAGATTGAAAGAGAGGGGGCACTGTTGCTACATGACAATGAGCCACCATCATGTAAGCTAGGTTTCTGTCTGTGTGCTCTACTTTATGTTCAGTGTACCCACATCGAACCCCTTTCTTCAGGGTGCAGAGGGCTGCTACATCATGGTATTCATGCAGCAATCCTCTTGTTGCATAAATGCACAGGATTCACTTCTCCGGGTGTCGGCATGGCTAAATAAATTAAATTATAAGTCAAATTGAAGAATGAAAGTCCATTCTTGATTTTCGAGGAACATTTTTCCTCAAGTTGTATCCAGGTTCTATCAATTCCCTGCTTCCCAAAATTCCCACTGTCTACTTTTCCAGTTCAGTCACTGGATACTCATCTCTGCAGTTCCTCAGCAGGGCGGCAAAATTCAAGACCGGCAGCAACAAGACGTAGGGAGAGGAGGAGAAGGATGTAAATAAGGGCTCCATCTCTCTTTCCCCCAACCCAGCCCCTCATGTGTGGGGGTCAGGGGTCAGCAGAGGCAGACTGCCCTTTAGTTGACCTTGTCTTGGAAGATGTAGAGGTTGTTGGTGGCCGCTACAGCGATGATGTTTTCATGTGGGTGCCACGTAGTGTGAAGGATCTTCTTGCTGAAGTCTAGGCTGTCTACACTGATCTCATCCTTACGACGCTTTCCACCCACACACACCTGGAGGACAACAGAAGGGATACAGAGGCTTTGAGGGTGTGCACAATTTTTAAAGCATAAATTACCATTTCAGTGATAAAGCTACAAGCAATATTCATTATTTTCTTCCTATAACAGGGCCAGAAGAAGTTGTCAAACACAACAGTGACTTATTATCACCTCAATAATGACAAATGTGTTAGCAGTACATAACAGATAGTTGTTGGATATTAACACATCCAGGATACACAGAGCAACATTAGCACTAATTTCAGTCATGTATATGGCCACACAACAATTAAGTCCCATAATCACTCTGGTTTAGCTCTGTTTTGGTTTCTACTAATCCCTGAGAGAAGAATATGTCTCTTTAGCTGTTAAATGGTCCATCACCCAGCTAGTTGTTAAATTTGTATGTTGCTGTTAAGGTAAACCCACTGTTTATAGAGCTTTTTTTTTTTTTAACTGAAAACAGCTGCTTGTTTTGTCTAGAAATTAGGTCAAAGTGAATCAAAACTGAGCTGAAAGATGCTAAAACGCTGCGTAGAGCTGAGGGGAACTGTAGAGTCAGTTGATAATTCCCTGTGGGTTCACCATTTTGAGTGACCCCTTCACATTACACATAATCATTCATAATAATTCAAACATAATTCATATAAACATATTGATTGGAGCATCTTTAACCTTTATTTAGCATTAGTTTACTGTGCACATTTGTGTCTGTTTGTTGTGAAAAAAATATATAAAAAGAACAAAGGAGGCAATATATATAATGTTGCTAAATAGAGCATTTGCTTCCTATAATCTGGGAATATAAAACAGCAAATCCAGCTGGATTAAACGCAACAGGACTTCCAGATATCGGGTCACTTGTATTGATGAGCAGTGCTGTACCTTGCGAGGTTTGAGAATGGCTCTGGGTTTGCTGTTCTCCCTGGATGCTTCCAGTGTGACGTCACGTTTAGTGTTCCGGTCAAACATTCGGAAAAAATTGTTATAGGAGCCAGTCATTATGACACTGAGGAGGAGCAGAGGAGAGCAGAGGGTTAGTGAGATACAGAGATGCATGGATGGATGGATGAATGGATGGATAAGAAATAAATCTTACCTGTCTGATCCATTCCAGACACACTCAAACTTGTCAAAGATGCAGTCATTCTCATACAGAGAACAAAGTTTTCCTCGTAAATAGTCGTGAACCTGAAAAACAAATAAAAACATGAATGTCTAAACCACTTGGTGGATTACGCTCACACTTTTCCAGCATCTAAAGTTCGTCACATTGCCATACAACCATAAGCTGCACTGCCATATGCTCTACTTTCAGTAATCCCTCCAGACCTGGTGACCTAAACTAAGATGCTAGGTAGCAGGTGGAGGCGGAGCTGGAATTGTACAGAATCCCTTGAGCCCGGATGATGGCCTTATCAATCATGACCTGCCCTAAGATGGCTTCCCATGATCAGACAGTGTGGATCTGACCCCGGTGACCACACAGTGGGAGGTTTTGCCCTTCAGGTTGCATCAGCCCCGCCACTATCTGTCTTTTTACGGACAGTCAGCTCAATAAGCCCTCCCGGAGTAATTGCTAAAGATGACAGGGTAACAGATTGGCAGGGTGACAGTGAAACAGGATTATGTTGAGTGATTAGTCTAGAAATCAATACGTTTTGATTTGATCTTGGCCTAACCGTCATTTGCTAACTTTACCAGCTGAGGATTATCTTTGGAACCTTCAAACTGTCCAACAGGCGCATAAAAGCATGACAAAAGCTCACCTGGTACGTCTCTAGAGGTTTGTTCTCCATTTGAAGGTCCCACACCTTGACAGTGAGGTAGTCCCTTGTCATCAGGTAGCGTCCATTGTGGCTGAACTTCACGTCAGAAATGGATGAGATGATTTCAGAGAAAAAGGAGCGAGTGGAGGGGTCCTCTGGCTCCTCAAAGTCTACGAGAGACAAAACAAAACAAGACATAAAGCAGTTATCTTCTGACAGAGAGAACACATTTTTCACTGTAGGAGGTCGCTGCTTAAAAGACATGTTTTTCATCCGCACGTCTTTTAATCATTCACAGCGAGGAAACACTAAGCAGATTTTGTTTAGGTTGGTGGGGGCCGTCATTAGCAAATGATAAAAGCCACAACAATGCTTGAGTGCAGGGTTTGATGCAGCAGCTGCATTTCCTCACAGTATTATTTCTGTGTGTGTTTAGGGAGGCAGTCGTGGGTCAGCATGCTGGGTAAATATTGGTTATGATTCATATTGATTCTGGCAGCTGCTGATCTGTGTGCAGGCCAGCACGCTGGGGATAAGAGCCAGGCATTCCATCGTTAGCTGTCAAGTTATTGTTCCTCCCACCGTTCCTCCCCTCTCTCCTCTCCAGCTCTCCAAATATGCCCCCACCGTTGTCCCCCGCCCCTCCTCTACCCCTCCTCCTCAGCTGAGGCCTGGAGAATAGCTCTGTGATGTGCCAACGGGGAGTCTAACAAGGGATGCAGCGTGAGAGATGAAAAAATGGGGAGGATGAGGAAGGGATAAGAAAAACAAATCAATGTCAAAGTGCTGGGCCCATTTGAGCCCCACTGGATTTGTGTGTGTGTCAGTGAATGAGTGTTTGTGTATGAGTGGGTGTGTGCAGTGTATGCAGGTATATATGCATATGTGTGTGTGTGTGTGTGTGTGTGTGTCTTCCCTCCCTTCTGGTGTATAATAGGGTCCCTGGGGAGTCGGAATGGGGACTGTTTGGTCTCCATCTCTCTGTCCTGGGGATCAGCATTTTGGCAACCCTGCCTATCCCTCCATCCATCCATCCATGCTCATTCTAACACTGATTAATACCAGCAGCCTCCCAGATATGCAGGTATGGGAGGAGATACAGTATGAGGGTGTGTTTGTGTTATTTATGTAGAAGGTTCAAGAAGGTTTGTGTGAGTGTGGATGCCAAAGGAAGGAGGAGCTGTGTGTGTGTGTGTGCGTGTGCGTGGGAGGGAGGCATTACACACCGCTCTGAGCCATACACGTTCATGCAGTGAGACAGTAGGTCGGTATTAACAGACCTGGCCTGAGGCTAACGAGAGCACCTGCCTGCTCTGTTAGTGTGTGTGTGCATGCGTGTGTGAGCACTGAAAGCACCTGTCAAGTAATGGCACGTACATGTAACTTAAAAATTTACTAAATCTAATAAATCTAAAAATCCAAGCATTTCTTCTTATTTAGCCCTCTTTATAAGAAATTCAACAGGCCGTGTTAACGCACGGCCCAGTGAACGCATCAATATGTCTGAGGAAATGACTGACATTATCGAACAACAAGGTGTGTCCATGAGGGACTAATGCGATTGCTCTTAAGCCATTGATTTTCCAGCCAAAATGTCAATGTATTCATTATTCATTCCACCAAAGTGTATGCGTGATGTTAAGCTTCAGAAAAGGCCATTCATTGTTTGAAACACACAGGGAGAATTATTGATGGGTTATCAATCCTGGCAGATTGAGGAGGGGGTAGGCTATGTCTCACGGCCACACAGAGGAGGAGCTGAAGCAGAAACACTGAGTGTGAATTAACAACCTAATATTTATAGTTTTATAGTATCTACTGATGGCTGGTCAAAAAAGACTAGTGGGGGAATTTGGACTCTGAGTAAATAGAATTTTAAAAAAAGTTAACGTAACATAAGAAAGGGGAAATTCTATAAAGATTTACTATTTTTTCCATGATGCAATCTACTGGTACTCACATTTGCAGTGTTTGTCGCAAAGCGCAGCCTGTCTCATGTCACACAGACGTATTGAGCCCTTGCTGCTGCTGTAGGCAAAGGTGTGACACTGCTGGGGATGAAACTCAGCTGAGGTGATCACCTCTGTCAGCTCCTCCATGTTGGCTGGCTTGATGTCCACGATGTCTGAGAGACAGGCGCTAAGGAACAACTACAGCTTTTAGACTGTGGACATTTAGTGGACAGCTAACACTCTGAAGGCCACAACACAGAGAAGTCACTACTGTTTTGAATTTTAGCTCAGGACACATTGAAGAGAAACAAGTAAGAGGATACTGAAGCTGCGATCTGTAATCTCCAGGTTCCACAGGTTCACCCTGAGGTCGTCAGTGGAGATGAACGTCTGCAGGTCGGAGTTGACAGAGATGGAGTTGATGTGGTAGGTGTGGGCATTGCTGAATACACGCCTGGCTGTAGCCTCAACCATCAAGTCCATAGGCTGCAGCACTGGCACCTATTGGTAAAGACAGATGAATTAGAGAGGGGAAAAGGAAAAACATATAAAAATATATCTACTTTGACGCTTTCATTTGTTTTGTAATACTGACTAAATATTTTATGCACTTTGAGGCTGACTGGCCTGCTTATATTTATCTGTGTATGTGTGAATGCGCATGCACAAGGTTGCTTGTGTGCATAGATTTTGTGTGTGTGTAAATATACTGCATGTGTTTGTATATGTGTGTGTGTGTGTGTGTGTGTATGTGAACCAAACTAGATAACTCCAGGGATTCACATGACATTTACTCCACAAATCTTAATGAAACAGAGACAGCGACTGAGGGGCTCCAGGGCTGTTTGATGAGCTGGTTCAATCAGACTGTGAATATCTGTTTGCTACACGGCTACTCGGTGATCACACACCTCTCTCTCTATCTCTATCTCTCTCCCTCTCTCTGTCATGTAAGTGCTGAAGAAGTCATTCCTGTTCTCTTGTTTGTGTGTGTGTTAGAGAAAATGAAAAAAGAGAGAAAGCGAAGGAGGTGGAAAGAGATATGGCCAGAGGGCATCGCTAGGCCCTGCTGAGGAATGATAACTGAACTCTGCAGAATTAAGACAAGCTCACACACACTCTCTCTCTCTCTCACACACACACAGTTGCACAGTGCTGCTAGGGCTTCAAAGACACCCAGCACCAGTCTGCATGCAGCCCCCCGTTGGCCAGATAAAACCCAGACAAAGAGAGAAGGGAGGGGAGGGAGAGAGGAGAACAAATCGACTGCTTCTTCCCTTTTTCTCTTGTCCGTTGCTGGCACAGACAGAGAGACATAGCAGCCCAGCAGGCTGCTGTATCTCCATGGGTGTCACTTCATTTCCATGTCTTTTACGGGCTGTCCAGAGAGACATGGACCGTATTAACCCATAACCCCAGTACTGACAGTTACACTGTTCAGCTTGCTTGAAATGACCTAATAGATTATCTTCTTTATAGCATGTAAAGGATTTAAATTGAGATATGTCTGCTTTAAAAAGTAACCAATGCCCATAAAAATCTATTCACAATACAGAATTTTAAGGCAGTTTTCTCTTTTAAACCAGCACATCATAATCAGAGAAAACACAAAGGGACATTTTGTTGTTTTAAGGAGAAATTGAATGAATTTATATGACACAATAAAGAGTATTTATTGTTATTTGGCTATATTTTCGCTCTTCCTTTTCCTCCTCTGCTTTCTCCCCCTACGCAGATTTCACAGCCACTAAACAGGATTGCCACAGTCCCGGCCTGTCCTCCAGGTTGCTATGATCCCCTGGCCAGCCAGACAAAGAGGGACAGACACGCTGAACACAGCACTAATCTACTATGGCAGACACACACACACACACATATGCACGTACACGCACGCTGTCCTATGTGCCTGCCTGCTTTGTGTGAAAATTAAAGAGGTAGTGGGGTGATAAGGAGGGGGGGCAAAGAGGATGATCCCTTCTTCGTTTCACTCAGTGACATTCGTCACTCATTTCTCACTTTCTTCTGCCAGTGCAAGTTCAAAATTGTCTAACGATTGTGTGTTTGCTGGTGTCAAAGTGTCATTTGTCTGTATTGAAAGTGAGCATATATTTAGCAGATATTTTAAAAGGGAAACTGTATCAATATGTGTATCAGTATCAGTATAAGTTGCTAAGACGTTTAGAGAGGATTAAAGGCTATCATAGCATAATAGCTGAATGATAAATTTTGATTTAATCAGCTTATCTGAGCTGTACTTATTCATACTTCAGACTACTCTATGTGCAAACACAGAAGACATTTTTTTAAGGGTGTAAGTAAGGACAGAGATTGTTGTCCCATGATTGTTATTTTGGGCTATATAAATAAAAATTGACTTGACTTGATTTTGACATTCACAGAAGGAAAAGCACAAGTGTTAATTATAAAAAGAATAATGGCTGTATTCCATTTAGGTGCTTCAGAGTCAGTGTCCTGGTATTGTGCATGCTGGCTCACTGTCACATTGTCATGGCTTAACGGGACATTGAAATATAGTGCAACCATTGGTTATGTTATTAGTAACACGTGCTTTTACTTTGACATGTCAAAATTGCAACATGAACAATAAGAAAAAAGATAAATAGTAAATAGTTAGCATAAAACATATTTAACAAAATGTGAAATTATTTAATTCTTCTTGTTATATAAAAGAAATCATTTGAATGTTGTTTCCTACAGTATATAATGGATATAAAACCAGGATAACAAGTGTATAAAATAAAAAATATGTATCAGTGCTTAAATATAATATCAGTCAGGATGTAAATAAGTTTTTTT